CCAATTGTATTTCTACATTAAAAACTGTTAGTGATCACTTTGATGGTATTGGTTACACATGTACAATAAGTATTCCTTGAGCATATACTAAGTGTATATTCTAGGGAAGATCCAAAGAATTAAGATATTTATTGTCTTTATGAAGCATACTTTATTAGTCTGTTCTCACATAGCTATAAAGAAATAACCAATAGTGGATAATTTATAAAGAAAAGAAGTTTAATTGGCTCACATTTCTACAGGCTATACAGGAAGCATGATACTGGTATCTGCTCAGCTTCTAGGGAGACCTCAGAAAACTTATAATCATGGCAGAAGAGGAAGCCAGCACTTCACATGGATGGAACAGGAGGAAGAGAGGAGGGAGGTGCAACACACTTTTAAACAATCAGATCTTGGGAGAACTCACTCACTTCACAAGAAAAGCACCAAAGGGATGGTGCTTAAACCATTCATGAGAAAGTGACCCCTGATCTAATCACCTCCCACCAGACCCCACCTCCTTGATCATGAGATTTGGGTGGGGACACAGATCCAAACCATATCATTCTGGCCCTAGCCCCCCACAAATCACATGTGCCTCTCATATTGCAAAATACAATCATGACTTACCAATACTCCCCCAAAATCTTAAGTCATTTCAGCATTAATTCTAAAGTCCAAAGTTAAAAGTCTTATCTGAAACAAGCCTAGCCCCTCCCACTGATGAGCCTGTAAGATAAAAAACAAATTATTTCCAAAATACAGTGGGGGTATAGGCATTGGGTAATTAATCCCCTTCCAAAAGGGAGAAATCAGTCGAAAGAAAAGGGCTATAGGCCCCATGCGAATCTGAAATCCAGCAAGGCAGTCATTAACTCCTAAAGCTTCAAAATAATCTCCTTTGGCTCCATGTCCCAAATCCATGGCCCAGTGATACCAGGTGTGGGCTCCCAAGGCCTTGGTGAGCTCTAGCCCTGTAGCTTTGCAGGGTTCAGCACCCATGGCTGCTTTCAAGGGCTGATGTTGAGCATTTTCTGCTTTTCCAGGCTGGGGGTACAAGCTGACAGTGGATCTACCATTCTGGGGTCTGGAGGATGGTGACCCTATTCTCACAACTCCACTAGGCAATGCCCCAGTGGGGACTCTCTGTAGGGGTACCAACCCTTACTGCCCTAGTAGAGGTTCCCCATGTGGGCTCTGCCACTGGAGCAGGGTTCTGCCTGGACATCCAAGCTTTTTTACATACATCCTCTGAAGTCTAGGTGGAGGCTCTCAAGTCTTAAACCTTGTTTCCTGTGCACCTATAGGCGTAACACTACGTGGAACCTGCCAAGGCTTGTGGCTTACATCTTTTGAAGCAGTGGTCTGAACTGTACCTGGGCTCCTTTGGGCCATGGCTAAAGCTGGAGCAACTGCAATGTAGGGAATAGGGCCCTGGGCCTGGCCCATGAAACAGTTCCTCCTTCTTAGCCCTCTGGGCCTGTGATGGGAGGGGCTGCCATGAAGATCTCTGAAATTCCTTTGAGGAGTTTTTCCCATCACCTTGGCTATTAGCATTTGGTTTCTTTTTACTTATGCAAATTTCTGCAGCCTTCTTGAATTCTTCTCCTGAAAATAGACTTTTCTTACCTGCCACATGGCCAGGTTGCAAATTTTCCAAGCTTCTATGCTCTGCTTCCCTTGTAAATATGTTCCAGTTTTATGTCATTTCTTTGCCTACACCCATTAGAATAGGCAGTCAGAAGCAGCCAGGCCACATCTTGAATGCTTTGCTGTTGAGACATTTCTTCTGCCAGATATCCTAAATCATACTGTCAAGTTCAAAGTTCACAGATCCCTAGGGCAGGGGTACAATTCAGTCAAATTCTTTATGCATAACAATAGTGGCCGTTGCTCCATTTCCCAATTAGTTCCTCTTGTCCATCTGAAACCTCTTCAGCCTGACCTTCACTGCCCATATGACTATTTATAACCTTTCAACCAGTCTCTAAGAAGTTCCAAAATTTCTTACACTTTCCTATCTCTTTCTGAGCCCTCCACACTCTTCCTACTCTGCCCGTTACCTAGTTCCAAAGTCGCTTCCACATTTTCAGGTATCTTTATAGCAACACTGCACTCTGGTACCAGTTTTGTTTATTCATTCTTGCAGTGCTATAAAGAAATACCTGGGACTGGATAATTTATAAAGAAACGAGGTTCAATTGGGTCATAGTTCCACAGGCTGTATAGGAAGCATGATGCTGGCATCTGCTCAGCTTCCAGGAAGGCCTCAGGAAACTTGCAATCATGATGTAAGGTGAAGGGGAGCCAACACTTCACATGGCTGGAGCAGGAGGAATAGGTAGACGGGGGAGATATGCAACACACTTTTAAACAACCAGATCTTGCAATAACTCACTCACTCTCACAATAACTGTATCAAGGGGATGGTGCTAAACCATTCATGAGAAACTGCTCTCATGATCCAGTCACCTCCCATCAGACCCCACCTTCTACATTGGGAATTACAGTTAAACATGAGATTTCTGTAGGAACAGAGATCTAAACCATATCACATACTATAAATTTAAAGAGATGTGGCTAGGATTTGTAGGAGTGAGAATAGAAAGACTGGGATCTTGTATTAGAGCAAAGGAAGTGAATAGGTCTTACTGATTGGTAATGTTAGATTGAGCCATGGATATTGCCATTGTTTTAAACCTGAGTAATGGGAGTTTGCTTTACTGTTTTTCTTAAACTGAAAACAACCTGTCTTAGTTGATTCAGACTGCTATAACAAAAAATACTTTAGGTAATTTTTGAAAAACAAAAATTTATTGCTCACAGTTCTGGAAGCTGGAAGTCTAAAATCAAGATGACAGCAGATTTAGTGTCTAGTAAAAAGGAGGGAATGTTTTACTTTTAAAAATGGAGGTTTTCTTGGCCAGGAGTGGTGGCTCATGCTTGTAATCCCAGAACTTTGGGAGGCTGAGGCGGGTGGATCATTTGAGGTCAGGAGTTTGAGACCAGCCTGGCCAACATGGTGAAACCCCATCTCTACTATATATACAAAAACTTAGCTGGGCATAGTGCCAGGTGCCTGTAATCCCAGGTACTCAGAAGGCTGAGGCAGGAAAATTGCTTGAACCCAGGAAGTGGAAGTTGCAGTGAGCTGAGATCGTGCCACTATACTCCAGCCTGGGCAGCAGAGTGAGACTCCATCTGAAAAAAAAAAAAAAGTATATCGAAACATCAAGTTGTACACCTTAAATATATACAATTAAAAACTATAGTAAAAAAAATTCAGACTGAAAAATAAACAGGAAACAAACTTGATACAGTTTTCAAAAAAGGTATACTTTCCAAAAAGTAGATAAAATGTGATATAGGTTCTATTATTGTCCCAAACTAGGGACATTTTAGCTGATCTAACATAAGTAATATATAAAAGAGCCTAACATTTTCCCTAGTATATTATAACATAGTAATTATTCAATCAACATTCAAACTACTGCATATTATATAGTGGTATTTTGTTTTGTATTTTCTGAACTGAAATGATAGCAGCTCCCAGGATATTGATATAAAGTCAATCTGGATCTCCATCTAAAATCTAGTGTCTACTTTGCAACCTTCAGCCCGTATTTGGGGATACATGCTTCTGTTTATAGTTCTTTGACAGTTTTATGATGCTGGGATCCTAACAATGTGGATGTAAGCTTGCTCTGCCTAAGTACCATACTGAATACTACATTTCTGCATTGTTAAGTTGTCATTTCTAAACTGTATGAGCACTATAAAGATCAACAGAGTCTTAACTTACAATTTTAAAAGCCATGGTACTGGAAATCTGTTCAGTGCCTATATGACTTCCATGTACAAGAAATGCATGCAGAGAAGAAATCCTGAAAACTGTAGATTGATGACTCTTACTTGAATATACTTGGTATGGTTTGGCTGTGTCCCCACTCAAATCTCATCTTGAATTCCCATGTGTTATGGGAGGGACCCAGTGGGAGGTAATTGAATCAAGGAAGGGGGCAGGTCTTTCTCATGCTGTTCTCATGATAGTGAATAAGCCTCACGAGATCTGATGGTTCTATAAGGGGGAGTTTCCTGGCATAAGCTCTCTCTTTTTGCCTGCTGCTATCCATGTAAGATGTGACTTACTCCTCCTTGACTTCCACCATGATTATGAAGCTTCTCCAGCCACATGCAACTGTAAGTTCATTAAACCTCTTTCTATTGTAAATTACCCAGTCTCAGGTATGACTTTATCAGCAGCATGAGAAGAGACTAATACAATAGTGAAAAAGAGTATCATGTGTAACATTGTTACTGACTTGTAAACTCCAAAACAAACAAACAAACAAAAACCAGAGAATTTGTCTTTCTTGTTTGCCAATTGTTTCTCTAAAGCAGGGTTTTTTAACTTTAACACTATTGACATTTTGGACTGGTTAATTCTTTCTTGTAAGGGGCTGTTCCATGTATTGTAGGATGTTTGGCAGTTTAGCAGCACTTGGCCCCAACCCACTAGATGTCAGCAGCACCCCTCTCCAGTTGTGACAAACAAAAATATCTCTAGATATTGCCAAATGCCTCCTCGGGGAAAAATTGCCCCCAGTTGAGAAACCCCTACCCTGAAGAATAAAATAGGATATGGCAAATAAAAGACACTCACCAAATATTTTTTGATTGACAAGACAGGAAAGAACAGTGTTTCACAAAATGTACCACTTGTGATATGCTTTGAATATCTAAGTAGGACCTGGAAAAATTTCTATAATTTTAATAGTTATATATTTTATATACAGTATAATATATATAACACAACAAACCCATGTTTTTGCATACTACTTTATAGGACACTAAAGTGGATACTGAGGTTAAAAAGTGACTTAATTGAAAGTAACATTAAGTGAGTGTGCACAACAGATGCATTAAGCAAAACTCATTAAATTGATTAAGGTAGTATGTGAATTACTGGAGTTTGACGCATTCATTTATACTAAAGGAAACTTAAGCAAAAATGAGCTTCCCATAAGTCTGGTTTGTGTGGGCCACTAGAATTCTCTTTGGAAATGATCTAGTGCCTTGCACAGGCTAGATACAGGTGTAGAAGACAAATTGCCTACCCGTTGAGAATTAGTCTGATAGACACTATAAGATATGAACAATGATTATTTTTATTTAGATTTTCTAATGTCTGGCTAAAAGCTGCTTTGTTGTTATTATTGTTAAGTGTATCACCATTATTTTAGAAGTAATGTCTAGTTTGGGATGGGGACTTCACTGAGACTCAAATAAATACTGCTGCTTAGAGAAGTATAAAAAGTAACATAAACGTGTGTGTGTGCGCGCGCGCGCGCGCACACACACACACACACACACACACACACACACACACAAGCTGAAAGAAGGAGCCGGAGACTAGAACAGCAGAGGATCACAATGGAAAGATCATGACATCAGAAGAAGCAGGGAGCAGGGAGGTAACCTGGGCCTGGGAGAGTTTGGAGTTTGGGACAATATGGGTAACAGGCCTTGAGCCTTTTATCTCTATAAAAAAATTGTCTTCTTTAAAATAAGATGCTGATCTTTGGAGGTTTATTGATGAAATGCTAGATGAGGTGACTGACAAGTAGTATTGATTTTTGCCTCCTTGGTTTTATCTTCCTCGGGAAGATAGCTGCCTCCAATGATGCTGGTTGCCTCCACCATGCTGACCTCTGGAGTGGCAATTCCTCTTTGAAAATCCTGGACCATGCCTGACAGCTCTTTCCTTTGTGGTTTCTCCTAACACAACTGAAATAGGTTGATTCTTTTCTAAAATACTTTATTAAATATTAAAGAATAAACAAGAAATAAAATACGAGATGTACTGCCAGATTTACCTAGCATCTCCGATATCACTGTCCCTGGTCAAGCCACTTTCACATCTCAAATCTCCTTTCCCTACTGCTGCCAGAGGTATCTTCTAAAAATCACAATTTAGCTATATCACTCCCCTGCTTAACTCTTTCATGGCTTTTCATTTGTTCATGGATGACATTTTAGTATATTAACTTTCTTTTGGTATTTCTTGGAGTAAAAATGGTTTTATAGTTATATTGACATAATGATTATTTCATTTATCTGATTTGAATGGGTTACAGTTAAAATTGAGATGATACCTGGGAAGGGTGAGGACCTTCCTGTGAAAAGGTATGAGTTCTAACACTTTTCTAAAGGTTTCCCAGAATAACTTTATCTGAAGGGCCAGGAGTCACTGGATTTCAAACTGTGCTTCCTATAGTGTGAGGCTTCTGATGAGGTATGTCCTGGCCGCCTCCAGGAAAAATCCAAATGGGTGAGAATACAACCCTCCACCCCAATTCTGCCTGAGGAGTTCTACCCTAACCCATTTTTTATATATTGGTGGTCTGCATAAAAGTTTTTGAGGGTTGTCTTCTGCTTTCAAAAACTATATGTTGATGAGAAGTCATTAGATGATTTCTAAAGTTCCTTTCAACTCCAAAATTATCTTAGAATCCAGCCTCCTTGACTTCTTTCTTAATTTACTTTATGTTAATTTTGTTCCATATGATTAATGTCTTGTTAGAAAATAATGGAATTTCAGAGCTGCAAGAAACTTTAGCAGCTATCTTGTCCAGTTTTCCAAAATGAGCTCCAAAGGACAAGACTCCTGAGAAATGCCCATTGCTTACATAAAGAACTATGTGGCCAAATACTTTGTGACTGTACTTTTGTCCCATTGCTCATTAGCATTGTCAAGGCTCTGAGAAGTCTTATAATAAAGAAACCTGACTAACCTTAAGTCAGTATTTCCTACATTGGAAGCATGGGCTTTATATCAGCTTACTATGACCTTCTTTATCTGGTACTAGTTTCTGCCCTATTACCAGATCAAAGAGTCCTGTTTTTGAATAACACACTTTTTAACATGCTGTGGAGGATAATTTGGGAAACACTCATATAGTTGAGCTTCCTCCTTTGGCAAAGAATTTGCCATGGAAAATGATTGATCCAGTATTACACAGCTGGTTATCAGGTCTAAGTCTAATATTATTCTTCAGTGGTCTCTGCTTAACTTCAAGTAGGTTATAGATTCCTTAATGGACTGATAGTTTATGTCTTATAGCTTTACCCTTCAGGTGCTTAGTTTCATATTGGGAACATGACAAGTGAATAATAAATGCACAATAGCTTTATGATTGAACTCTGAGAAAATGAAGCATTATGATATGATATGAGTTAGTTTTTGTGTATGTATGAGTTGTTTTTTTTTTAATCATCTTTTGGAAACAGAATTCCTGCTCCCCTGTGCACACCCTTTCTCTGTAATTGCGATGTATGTTTTTTTATTTCTCCAAAGTTTCTGTTGTCAGTAGTTTATGCTCATTGATTCATACTGTTTATTCTGTGGGCTGCTTTGCCTCAGGGCTAATTTGATTAGGGATGCTACTGTTTTACACCATTCAGGAAAATGTTACACTATAAAGGGTATTGGATTTGTCACAGAATGATATTGAAGGGAAGCCAGGGACAGGAATGCTAGTAACTTGCTGGCTTGGTTATTAGCACTGGACCTTTTGGTATTTTTGTCTGCCATTTTTGTTGATATTGCTGTTTTCTGAAGAGATAAGTTTGTGACCAATTTGAGGATTGTTATGTGGCATGGGCAGAAACTAGTACCAGATAAAGAAGGTCATAGTAAGTTGATATAAAGCCCCTACTTCCAGAATATTGTGTTTCTGTCCTCTGAGGTTAGATTATCTGTTCATGAGGGAGAAAACATTTATGTAAGGGAGAAAGATTGGAATGTACTTAAATGAAATGCTCACATTAACAACATCAGCTGTACTGTAGCTTATCTGATGTAGCGACTCAGCCTCTATCAGTCTGACTGTGTGTATGTGTTCTGTTTTGTACAGGGAATCATCATCCAGGGACCTGCCAGAAACCACAAGAAAACATGGGGAGGGGTAAGTTTCTCTTCCCTTTTAAGTAATTTAGACTGTCTCCAGAGCTATTATAGTCAGGAAATTAAACTTCTAATTCATAGTATATTTGTGGATACCTAAATTGTATTTCTTGTTAATGTTACAAAGTTTTTATCTGAAGCAGGGCTTTGCAGAGAAAGACTGTCAACCACATTTGTTCACTGGATCTTTGATTTTCTTCTTTTGCAGAGACTCCCCAGTACAGGGAGAGATGAATCAAAATTGATACTATATATACAGACCTGCCCCAAACCCAGCTTCCTTATAACTCTTCTTTGTGTTTTCTGTTTCCTTGATAGTAACATAAAATAAAGAGTCTACTATGCAGCCAGTGACAGTAGTAAAATAAATTATCTGTGAGCTTGATTTGCAATTTTTTAAAAAAAATTTTAAAGCCCAGCATTAAGAACCACTAGATGAATTCCTTCTGTTTATTTTTGCCTTCTCATAAGACTATTTGTGGGCAGTGGACAACAGATAAATTTAAGTTCATTTCATGTTTAATATTAAGCAACCACCACAGGGACTTCATAAACAATTCTAATTAATGAAGATCATGTCAACCTAAAATAATCAAAAGGATCAGAATTTAGTTTAAAGAGTTTATTCCAGTGCAAAGGTTGAGGACAGACTCACCTGGAAAGCACTGATTCTAAAGAATGGAAATCAGTGTTTCAAAGTGTAGAAGTTTGGTGATCACTTGAATAGACAAAGTTTAGGATATTTTAACAGAATTTTAACATCTTTCTATGTAAGGCTTACTGCATAGTTACAATGACCTGATTGACCCAGGTGGTCCTTTTCTTTCACGAAAGGTATATTTAACATTCCACATTGAAGATGTAATTGTCATGGAGTCCCTGTTAGGGGCACCATCTAGTCTGAATTAGGTACAGGATAATAAAGGAGGAATAGTAAAGATCGATGACTGAAATGGGGAGGACTGGCCTCTGGTTTTTGCTAGTCATTTACAAAACTATAGCAATGAGGAAGATTGTTAAATTATAACCTAAGAAGCAGAATTGCAAAATATGTTATGTGACTGAAATCACAGTCACATTTCTCCCAAGGCTTAAAGCGTTTTGGGGGTGTTCCAACAGCTTTTAAATTTTATTAATTTTTACAATCATAAAATCAGAATGCTATGAAGGATCTCAGAGGAAGATTTGGTGTGTGGTGTAGTATAGTATAGTGAGAAGAATACTGCATACAGAAGGCCTGAATTCAACTTCTACCTCTACTACCTTGATGAAATCCTAGAACCTCCCTAAACTTGTTTGTTTATCCCTGAGATGGGATTAATACATTCTGCACTTCTAGCCTCAGAAAGTTGTGGTTGACATAATGTGATAATACATGTAAAAGTGTTTTGAGAGCCCTAAAGTGTAATGGAATACAGCAGTGCTATCTGCCCGTTACTGTCCTTACTGACCAACTACAACTTCATTGTTTTTTTAATGGGTAAAAATGAAGTTATTGACCAGATGCTTCTGTAGGCAGCAGAACTGGGACTTGGGTCATGCAAACAACAGAGTTCCTCCTTTTGTTGCACTGTGCTTGCCCCACCCTTCTATGAGCCCTGGTAGGAAGCTCCAAGGATTATGGATCAATCATGGAAAATATCTTCCTGAATCTTGTTCCTGTTTTCTCCAGAGCTTCCCTTGGAAATTGATTAGGCCTAGCTATTCTAGGTCTTTCCAAGTTTTCACAAAAGATGCCAATCTCTGATGGTTTAGAAATTTTATAACTAAATAAACTTTTTAAAAACTATTCAGAATTCTGGGACTAATCTGTGCCATGTCCTGCCCACAAATCAGCTGTCAATGGAAGCTTCCAGAGTAGTGATACAGCTCCAATGACTGGGGGAACACCAGGGTCCTTAGTCTTGTGCCGATTTAGATCAAATGACACAGACACAAGAAGAGTGGTTTTAAGTAGCTGAGAGTTTAATAGGCAAGAAAGAAGGAAGAAGCTCCCCTGTACAGAAACAGAGGGAGGGGGGCTCCAAGCTGAGAGAGGAAATTTTGAGTGTGGCAGAAAACAGTTATATGACGAGGCTGGTGGAAGCAGTGTCTGATTTGTATAGGGCTCAGGGGATTGGTTTGGCCAGGCATGTCATTCACCTATCCTGCTAGAAAACTGGCCCTCCCACCCTAGTCTTTTAACATGCAAATGTAGGGCACCATGATGTTCTACACAAGTGGTGATATGTGGGGGTGGCCATGTTGCCAGGAACATGTGAGGGCAAGGGGAAGAAGATGGTGGGAATCGCCATGTTTGGGTGGACCCAGTTTCTAATGGCCAACATTTGCATATCAAAGCTTGCCAGCCAGTCTCTTTAAGAGCATGGGCTTTCCTGCTAGACAAGTAACAACGTTTCTGGAACTGCTTTAAAAGAAACAAAAACTTCCCAAGGACCCCCTTTCCTCTCTATCTGCCTAAAATAATTTCTTAGTAACTCCCACAACATTAACACATCATGTTTGATCCTCACCCAATTCCAAAAGCTTCAGGAAGATTTGGAGAATGTTCTGGTTGCTGGATACTGCCATAGCAATATGGAGGAGAGAGCTGCACTGAGACAAGGAAACCTATTCTTTCTTATTTCCTCTATTCATTTTTAGACTGCTTATCAGGTCACTAGCAAAGGGACTATTCAGTGCTTAGTTTAGAAGTTGTCTTAGCAACTTTTTGTTCAAATGGTCAGACAATTAATATATAGTTGATCTTTTAACAATATGGGGGATAAGGATGCTGACTCTGTTCCATAATCAAAAATCCATGTATAATTTTTTTTGATGCCCCCAAAACTTAACCACTAATAGCCTACTGTTGACTGAAGGCCTTACCAATAACAAACAATTAACACATGCTTTATATACTATGTGTATTATACACAGTATTCTTATAATAAAATAAGCTAGAGAATAGAAAATATTATTAAGAAAATCATAAGGAAGAGAAAATACATTTACCATTTATTAAGTAGAAGTAGATCATCATAAAGGCTTCATTTTTGTCATCTTCATGTTGAATCAGTGGAGGAAGAAGAGGAATTGGTGTTGCTGTCTTAGGAGTGGCAGAGACTGCAGAAAATTTGTATATAAATTAACCTGTGCCATTCCAATATGTGTTGTTCAAGAGTCAACTGTAGTTCCTTCTAAAGAACAGGGCATGGTAATGTAATCTGCAAAGATAGGCATGTTTCCAAGCTGGTGATGAGATAAGAGAAGTGCTTCAAAGAATGCTGCTTTTACAAATACAGAAGCTTGTGATAGCATTTTCACTGTGTTGACCACTTTGAAAGCATTTGTAATATCCTGAATCTCAAACAGACTCTATCATTTACTCTCTAAGCTTTGCTTAGTTTGCCTGATTACATTTGTTAATTGCTGACACTGTTATTGGGGAGAAAAAGATGCTACTGTATGCTCATTTTTTCTTTTCTGGCACTGTACAATGAAATTTTTCCTGCATTTGGCAAAGATTCTCACAAACATAGCTCAGTGTATCATACAGAGGGACACAGAGGAAAATATTACAAAGATATGGCACTAGCCTCATTACATAAATTAAAGATGCATGAAAACAAAAAACACAGTTGGATAACTGTACAGATTAGGGGAAAAATTGAAACTGAGGTGAATTTCTATTAGCATTCTTTGATTTTAGATGAAGAAATGTGTAAATTTCTATTAGCATTCTTTGATATTAGATGAAATATTTGCAAATATGTGTTAGAAGAATCATTCGTTTATGTGACATGAAAGATTATAAACAAAATTTAAATCTTAAGGGGAGGAGGATGAGAACAGACTTATGTATTTAATTTCTTATTAGTCTACTACCATCAGTGTCCATTGTGTGTGGCATTGAAATCCCAATCAGTATGTATGAATTCTTAAACAAGGCTTAGTATTTGAGACTCTTAAGAATCTATAATTACTCAGATATTAACACATTTCTGTAGAGCTCTTGATAACTCACAGATATTTCCTCTACATTATCTTGAGTTGTAAGACAACTCTATGATGTAAATAGGTATTATCCTCATTTTATGTATTATAAAACTGAGGCTCATAAGAAAAAGTCTTATCTGTAATCCACAGACTATGAATGGAAAGCCAAAATGCAAGTCTAGGCCTTCTTATGTCACATCCAGTTTTTTTTCTTCCAAGAAACCATGTTCTGAATGTCCTACTCATCATTAGTATATCAGTCAATTAAAAACTTAGGAGCTATCTGTTGCCGTGAGAGATATAGAAGAGATTGTTTTTTAAGATCTGTGTTTGGTTTTCTGTTCTTGTGTCAGTTTGCTGAGAATGATGGTTTCCAGATTCATCCATGTCCCTATGAAGGACACGAACTCATCGTTTTTTATGGCTGCATAGTATTCCATGGTGTATATGTGCCACATTTTCTTTATCCAGTCTATCGTTGATGGACATTTGGGTTGGTTCCAGGTCTTTGCTATTGTAAACAGTGCTGCAATAAACATACGTGTGCATGTGTCTTTATAATAGAACAATTTATAATTCTTTGAGTGTATACCCAGTAATGGGATTGCTGGGTCAAATGGTATTTTTATTTCTAGGTCCTTGAGGAATCACCACACTGTCTTCCACAATGGTTGGACTAAATTTGCACTCCCACCAACCGTATAAAAGTGTTCCTTTTTCTCCACATCCTCTCCAGCATCTGATGTCTCCAGATTTTTTAATGATTGCCATTCTAACTGGTGTGAAATGGTATCTCAATGTGGTTGTGATTTGCATTTCTCTAATGACCAGTAATGAGGAGCATTTTTTCATATATTTGTTGGCCCCATAAATGTCTTCTTTTGAAAAGTGTCTGTTCACGTCCTTTGCCCAGTTTTGAATGGATTTGTTTGTTTTGTTCTTGTAAATCTGCTTTGGTTCTTTGTAGATTCTGGACATTTGCCTTTTGTCAGATGGGTAGACTGCAAAAATTTTTGGTTGCTG